TTTGCCGGTCTCGAGATGAAAAATCGGTACAGACGAACACACAGACACACACACAGACACGCAGACACACACACACACGGACAACCTCTCGTCAATATGCGTTTTCTGCATTGCATAGCTGCAAAAAACGTATAAAAAAGTCAAACCTAACAATCCATCCAGTCCGCGCTTCCAAATGGGAGGTTTCCTTCACATTTAACTATTGAAAAAATCTTGATTGAGATGTGTGCTTGAGAAAAAAAAACCTATTTGGTCAAGTCACCAAGATAACAGTGGGGCAGAATCAATTACTAAATGGTATCTACGAAATGCTGCAGGAAGAAGGAAAGCTACCAGTAAGAAATGAATGTTTCGTATGGGAAGTTTAAAAGCGAGGCCAGAAAATACGCGACGGCCGAATAATAAATGCTCAAAGTATAACAAACCAGAATCAGCGAGATTTTCCTCCCTTGCTGCCCAGTGCATTATAAGGCGACGTTTTTTGCTAAAAATAGCTGCTTCTTTGCCAACATCTTCCGGCCTCTTCCACCGGTTATCTTGTACGCTTGTCGCTTCCACTTCATACCTTAACGAAGTTTCTTGAATGAACAAATGTGGCTTGTTCTCTCGTTCTTAATGAGGCTGCCACAAATTTTCAATATGATATAAAACCCCCAACATCTGCAAGCATAGAGCATCGTTGTCTTCTCAAATACGATTCTAAAGGCCACGTACCTGCTTTCTGGTACGATAATTTGGATCCTCGTAAAAGGATTCTAGCGCCACTGGAAAGGTGTGCACAACAAGCTTCTAACAATCTCGTAATACGAGTGATGATAGTTAGAAATGCGGAAAAAATAGCTAAAAGATAAGCCGAAGAACCACAGATGCGGTAAAATGACTCCAAGCAGAGTGCTGCCCCACAGTAACGATTTCGCGATCCCCCTCTTCCTGCCCTGATCATCCCTTACTCGCGCATACGGCAAAGAACAAAATCTATGAAAACAAGTGTTCTTGCTTACTCCGATGCATGTCTCTTCCTTTTATGACGATGCTTATGCTTCCTCTTCTTTTTCTTTTTTTTCCTCCTCGATTCGGAATCTATCCATTCGCAATCACTCTCATGTCTTTTTCGCTTTTTTTTCTTTTTCACTCGCTCATATTCCACTGAATTTTCATCCACTGACCTTCGCGGTAACCTTATGAGCAGTTTTGGAAGCGGCTGCTTCGCCGACTGTTCTCTATAATAACAATATTTTACTCGAGCAAAAAAGACCAGCTAGGGTCTTAAAAAAAGATGAACTGCCGAATCCAAAAACCGCAACACATTTCGCTCAAAGAAAAACGCTGTGTCAAGACTTAACCTCAGAAACAAGCACTTTTGTTAAAAGCATAACTATTTCGCACTATAAATGTATTGGGTGACAAAATGGTTTAAGTGAACAGTGAACGGTTTAGGTAAACGCATCAAAATAAGAGGTAGTACGCAAGAAATCAATGCCATCTGACTGCAATGAAAGTGCTCACTTCCTTTCTTCAGGCAAAACTTGGCTCCCCTCGATTTAAATGTCTTTTTCCAAAACCGCAAAAAAAAAAAAACAGTTATTAAATATTTGTAAAATTACTCATTTCCTGCCCTGTTGTTCTCTTTTGATTTGTTGCTTATTGTAATAACTGATGGCTCTCCCATTTGTTGTTCACTTTTGGCAGTATCATGATCGTCAAGGCACAGCGTTTTCAGGAAGCCAAATGATGAGCGGTGCTGACTGCGATGCAGCAGCAAACTGGAAATCGTCTGAGGTTCCACCGCCTTCTGACCTGCAAAACGGCAAACAATAACTGGAAGA